AACAACTATCAATTCATGGAAAATCTTATTTTGCCTGTAACTCTAATTATATTAAAGCACATATATTATATAATCTATAACAGATTATTTTTAATGTTAAGTATACAATTGACTCTTTAACATGCAGGGTTTAGAGGCATCAACATACGTGCTGTCAAAAATCTTCATATAACTTTTGACTCCCCAAAAATTTAACTACTAATAGTCTACTGTTGACCAGAAGTCTTACTGATAACACAATCAATTAACACATGTTATATGTTAGACAAATTATATATTGTATTTTTACAATAAAGTAAGCTAGATAAAAGAAAATGTTAAGAAAATTATAACAAAGAAAAAATAAAGTGCTGTATGTATTTATTGAAAAAATCTATAAGTGAACCTGTGCAGTTCAAACCCATGTTGTTCAAGAGTCAACAGCTAAAAAACTAACAGCCTTAATATTATCAAATATTGAGTTGATTATTATGTTATAATTAGTTAACTTTGTCTCTTAGTTCACTTTTAATCTAGAGATTTCCCCCTCCCTCTTTGTCCTCCCGTTGTTATCATTTATTGAAGAAACTGTCATTGTACTTTAGAGCTGCATTGTTCAGTACTGTAGATACTACCTACATGTACATGTGGCTGTTGAGCACCTGAAATGTGACTGGTCTATTTCAGATATTTGTAAATTTAAAATACTCATGTTTCAATGACTTGGTATAAAAAATGAAGTATCTCATTAATTTTACAGTAGTCACTTATGATCCTTTAATGTATTAAAGATTGCAAAATGGTGATCAAATTCTTTTCTTCCTCTTCATGTACTAGCTAGAGTACTTACATAAAGAGAAACCTCCCCAATCAACTATTTGATCACACTTGATTACTACACAAAGTATATATATTTTGCATTGAAAAAGGACAAAAGGTTGATTCTTTCTTCTTTTTTTTAATATATTTTTTATTGATTAAGATATTACATATGTGTCCCTGTCCCCACTTCACCCTCTACCCACCCCCCCACCCCCCCGTTGTCCGTGTCCATTGGTTAGGCCTCTATGCCTGCATGTAAGTCCTTTGGTTGCTCTTTCCCCTTTACCCTCCCCTCCCCCACCCTC